CTACGGATATCAATATTCTGGCGGAATTGACGATATAAGCATGACTGGCTAGGCTAAATAACAACAAACACGAGCAGTATGCAAATCAGGAATATGAATTCCTACCTAATGAAGCATGTACGTGCATAAGGTCACCATGAATAATTAATCAATTGGAAAGGGGCATTCAAATTTTATATTCGTGTATGCACGTGTTTTTTTTTTCTAATCAGTCTAGCCAGTCATGCTTACATTGTCAAGCACCTGTGATATGAGGGATCGTATTTTTACAAGTGACACAATGGGATACTCCGATCTGTTTTATGATTCATCCTGTGTTTCCCAGTCATATAATCAATATATGTGATTCCTAAATATTCACATGCCAATTCAAATTATTCCTAAACAAGATTGCTGTAATGCTGAAATGAAGGGAATTAGTGTATTTTGTTGTTCATCCTTTACTCATGTGCGTTTGCCAAACGTTCTGAACACGAGGATTTTTTTTAGATCCATGATGTCTCATATATTATAGTAGGATCAATTTTAAAACAGAAAGTTGCCTTGTCTTGTTAAACATCGATGCACCATTGCTTTAGCAAACTCAGCACACGCACAGGAGCCAAGAGTTTTGTCCTCTTGGTGGGCTATCATTGCACACACTTACAGCAGCGCATATATGTTTTATGTTACTTGTTCTGTGTTTTAAATGTTTTGATTTTCCCTTGGAATTTGGCAGGGGGATTGGTACCCCCTTAAGTGTGAACCGGTGTCACCGGCCTGCCTACGGGGTTCCAAGGTGTTTTTGTACTGTTACGTGATCGTCTTTTATTTTACCCGTGAACCAAAAAGCATAATATAATATAATATTCTTTTTATTCAGATAAGTTTTTGGTGAGAGCGCCCTCTAGTATTTGTAGGGATCATGTTTATTTGGAATGGTCTGATTGGATGGAAGTTCGAGCTTAGCAAGGTGTGATAGAATTGGCCTGTTAGATTCAAATAAGCATGAACCACTAATTTGACAGGGAAGTGATACGTATAATGCAGCAAGCTGTTTTAATTGCTGTTATGATAGATTTGTTTTATATTTTCAAGTCAAATGCATTTATTGGTCCACTGAAAAATCAAAATAATGTTCCTTGTAACTTTGACCCTTATTGATCAAGGCATTTTTTTTAAAATTATGGGTGTTTTACTCCCCTCAAGTTATGACCCGTTGTCCCCTATAAAATAATGGTTGCATCTAATATTAAAAAAAGATGGCGGGGTATAGTGTTGATTTATCTCGTTCTACTCTGGATTACTTGGAGTCAATAAAGATCCTAGAAAGTTATTATTTATATGCCTGTGTGTTTTTTTGTTTGTTTTTTCACTGTCTTTGACTTTCTCAGTATGTTTGTTGCTATTGACAACAATTCAGTCCTCTGCAAGGCTTCAGTCAATGTTTTTCTTTAATACAATTTAGCCAATTATTACCCAAGACAGTTGGACATTTGCCACATGTCACAACACTCATTTCCAAGTGCCATAGCTTGAAACAAGTAGTCAAATCTATTCGCTGGAGCTTTTGTTTATATGGACATGGTAAATGGCAAACTAGATGGTCAGAAAGTAATAAAAATAATCACAGGTTTACTTCACCCACCCCACTATGAAGTAAAAGGCTGTTTATAAGGCCATTTATGATGGTTTCGTGTTTTTTATGGAAAACAATTTTAATTATAAACTTCTATGCTTCTGGTACCTAACCGTGGGGATCCATCATAATAAACAACAGGTGTCACTATTACTAAGAAAAATGTACTTTTTTTATATTAAAATTACTAATATATATAATATAGCATTTCGTCTAATTTCTTCAGATCTTGTTATCTCCTACACATAGTACTTGCTCACTTCGATGTAATGTTTTTGTGCCAGACGACAGTTCCGGACATTGAATGTCACTGTTGTCTCTCCTTACTTTTTTTGTATGTGCAAATTGCAAGTGCAATAGTGCAATTTTGCCACAGAAGTCATATTCATGTTTGCGACTACATGACAGGGCTGTGCGATCATCTATCAAATGGCAATTTTATTGCGCTATCCTGGTGTCAACCAGGCTCGGTCGAACACAAGCACCTGCAGACCTTAACCAAGGTTCCCCCAAAGTCACATTCGTTAGTGAATGGATCTCAGCCAGTGGAATTGGCCTTAA